CCTGGTTCTTACGTAGCCATTGATTCTAATCAGTGGCCCGAACCAATGGATCTTGATCCTCCTGGTTCCTACGTAGCCATTGATTATGGTTTTTATTCCTTCCCCCTTCGTTTTTAACTGGCCACCTCTCCTTCTTTTGTCGTCTTGGCCGGCACTTAAAAAATTAAAAAATTAAATTAAAAATTAAAAAAAAAAAAAAATTAAAAAAAATCCCCCCCTTAAATAATTTCACTAGGGTGTTTATCTTTTGGTAAACATGACTACGATACGAAGGTATCGTATATATTATATGATGTTGGCTGCTTCGACTTTCCTTTTTGCAATTAAAATATTTCCCTTTTTGGCCACTTCATCCGTATTTTTTTTTAGTATAGAATTTATTTTATCTTTTATTTTAAATAATATATAAAAAAAAAAAAAATTATTAAATTTATGTATTTCGATGATGTCTTGAGGTGAACGTTTCTTTTTTATTTTTATATTTTTTTTTTAATATTATTCCCTCATTACATTCGTTTTCACATTCTTTTTTTCACCTCAAATGAGCTATCACATTTGATATGCGGTGGTTCAAGTTTTTCTTTACCTGAACGAAGCTTGCCACCTCTACGCGGTGTTCAGGAGAAACGGTTATAGTTTGAACTATAACTGGCTAAGCGCAAGCCTTAAAGTGATAATTACATGTTAATATTTGCTAATACTAAATAAAATCTTGTAAATTTTACGAAAAAACGATTTGTTCAAAGTGGCTTCTTTTTAATAATACAAAATAATTAAATAAAGTTTTCGTCGTGTAAAAATAAACCTTTTTAAATAAAAAAATTACTAACGAAGATGGGACAACCTAATTACTATCCACAGCAATAGAATTATGAATTTCGTTGAACAAACTCATTCAACATATTTTTTCAGATTACAAAGAAATGAAACCTGAATTTTTTTTTTTATAATTTATTTTCCTTAAAATAAGTCTAGATGGATATATTTCTCCAAAATCCATAAATACATTCAAATACCACAATTTCTTGAAATCTCGCATGATAAAAAATGAATTATTCTCAATTTTTTTATAACTTTTTAGTATCATTTAATTTTATCTTTTTCAAAGTTTTTGTTTCCTGTTGTAACCTTTATATCTTCACCTGTATATCTCATTATATTCACTATTTTTTTTTAGAAAAACAAATTTGGTTCTAGTATTAAGTGACGCAATAAGTGAAGCTATAATAATAATAAAAAAAAGCTAATGATGCAAAACCCTTAAGTAATTATTCTAACTCGAAAGAGAAACCTTAAGAAATGAAAATGATAAACAAAGCGCAGAAATCAGAAATTTTAAAAAATAAATAAATTTACAATTAAAAAAAAAAATGGAACTAAAAATCTATACAAACAAAAAGCACACCGCATATTTTCAAAGCGATCCATCAGATCCTAATAATAATTAATATAATCGTATTATCGCTGCGGCCCTAAAGCGAAAGAAACAAAATTAAATGAAAAAAAATGAAAAGTTAAAAAAAACAAATGAAACTAAAAAAAAACATGAAATTAAAGAAACACGTACTGAGCACTTCCGAAACAATCGACTCAATCGGTTCATCATCTACACCTGCAACTGCATACTGCTCACGCGAAAAATGGGAAGACATTTTTGTTGCGGGATATACCTTAAAATGAAAATACAATTACCTTGCTCGTGGTGTTTCGTTTTCTATTTGGAACCTAGAAAGTACTAAAAAACAAAAATATGCCTGTAATCCATAGAAACATAAAACAGTTTCAAAATCAGCCGGGAAAATTGATTTTTTTAGGTTCTCGTAACCCTTCGTATTATACAGTTAGGTTGTTCCGCTAAGGAGTTGGGTAAATTTGATAAGCTATTTATTTGGTAAAGTTGGTAAGCTAGTAATTTTTAGTACCATTGCAAAATAGTTTAGATAATTTGCGATATCTTTGTATTCCTCCAAAGAAGTTTAATATTCCATCCTTATTAAGTTCTGTAATCGTTAAGATTTTAAATATCCTTCAACATTTGATTCTAATCGGAATAATTTGATTCATTTGTTCAAATCGAATAATCCAAATAAATTATTTGTACTAGAAGAAGCATCGACTTTATCCAAATGAAATTGTTAAAGAATTGATTCATCATTCTCATTTATTATAATTGCATTTTCTTCAGGTGTGCCGGGAATGATCTTTTCTCTAAAATTTAGATAGCTAAACTTAAGTCATATTCTTCAACATAAAAAGAAGGATGACCGCTTGATAATTCCCATAAAAGTACGGCAACACTAAAACGTCTCTCTTTTCATATTGTGGTGATTGATAAAAAAAAAAATTTGGGTCAAAATAAGGAATTACTCCAAAAACTTTAGACTGTGTCGCTGTTTAAATTCTTTTCTATAATCAAACATCTAGTTTAATAACACCTTGATGAATTAATGAATTAACTAACACATTACTATAAAAAAAAAGTTAATTATTAAACAGCAATGATCATAATGAAATATATATCAATGCATAATTCCATCTTCATGTAAATACAATACAGCACAAGCCAGCTAGAATGATAAGTTGTATTTATCTCCCAAATCAAGCTTATCAAAATTAATAAATCAAGGAATGATATTAGTGATTCAAATAAATTAATGATTAGTACTCAAGTTCGACCCGCCTTTGATATATACCGTCTTTTGTGTAATCTAAAATATATAAATTAATTAACAATTATTTAGGTGTGGAGACGAAGTGGAATTTAATTTATCATATGGGAGGATTTCTAGAAAATCAGGTTCCGAGAAATTTTTGAGTCAAATTAAGAGCTTAATGCATTTTAATCTAAAAAAAAAAAAAAAACAAAAACTAAAATGCAATAAAAGAATCAACTTTGTTAAAAGATTCCCGGAGCCTGATTTTCATAGCAATCAACCATATGTTAAAACGATAGATAGAACATGAACCTACCTTAATTCTGCTTTCAATTAAACAATGCTCTTGATTTCATTACAAATTTATGAGACTTCTGAAATAATAATATTATCATGCCTTAGATAAATTGTAAATGATGCTTAATTAGAGTAAACAGTATTATATATTTCAGACTAAGCATTGTTATAATAAAATAAATAGCAACGATTTTATCCAAGATTTTCTTATATGTATCCTGCTATATCATAAACATATTATTATGCCAATTAGGATTGTTGAATACGAGGAGTCCTAAACGGAAAAAGTACCTTAGGGACAATTGATATCAACTCATTTATTTTTCCGTGAAGAACACAAATATGATTAATGACTGTTGGAGCGGTGGGAAGGAGCGAGTGATTGCCCCCCGGCAGGTACTAAAATTCCAGAATAGGTACTAATAATGTCCAAATATTCAGCAGATCTACGATCGCAAGATGCCAGAATGTCTAGAGATTGGTTACAAGGTCTTCACAATTACTTGTATTAAAATGTTCCCTTTCAAAATCTTCCTAGATTCGTCTACTGCAATTCAATCTGCCAGAAGTTTCGTAATTGAAATCACATTCTTTTTGTCCAAGACGACTAGGATCCTCTGATGAATATTTAAGGCTTCACAAGAACTTTTCCTAAGAATAGACGAGATTCATTATTGGACTTATTTTACTTTGGACAAAATACAAATAATATGGTCATCTGGTGCATTTTCTTGAACTGGATTAAAAATCAAATTATATAGCTATATCATTGAGAAGAAGATTTTCTAAAATATCAGAAATTGCTTATAAGCTAGAAATCACATGTCAATTTGATATGTAAATTGAGAGAACTATAAATTGTATATGTAATTTAGAAAATAGAAAGAACTAAACAATAATGCAGCTCTCGTATTAAATATTCGTATATGTTTTAACAAGTACGGGATCGAATTCTGAAAAATTTTATGAAGAAAAGTAATGAGATAGTTAGGTGAGCACACTTCTCGTATTTGCGTAAAATAATGAAGCACAAATGAACTCAATGTATGATTTCACATGATTTCGATATATACGCAAAGGAATATTTAATATAATAAAAAAAATAATAATAATTTACTTATAATAATAATAATGAAAAATTTCAATTCGAAATTAAGAGTTAATCGAAAACACAAAATTCTATAAGTGAGACAGCAGTTTTCGATGGATGACGAATACTTTCGCATTTACAGTATCAAGATTTTCCACCAGAAATTCTCGATGTTACCATCTTATTAGTAGAAACAATTTTAGAACAAGATAAAGAAACAAGAATTGACAAGGAAAGTTATGCGACAAAACATGTAACACACATATGAGACGACAAAATTAAAATATCAAATGTATATGAAAAATAGTAAAATGCCGCAGAAATGAATCTTGAGAGGAAGGAAATGAATGAATAGCATATTCGATAAGCAACCCACTACGCGTGAAATATCAAAGTCACATAAATACAAAGAAAAGATATTGATCATAAAAAATGTTACGGGAGATAAAGCAGATTTGTATTAAAATTTATTAGAAGAATTTTGGGAATTATATAGTACATCAAAATGATAAAAATAAAAATAAAATTACAAAGATATAAAATATATCTCTTTCTGTGAAATCGACCAGCGACTACCGATAGGTCATCATATAGATGATTACTATTAGTTAGGATTATACCTGATTCTTCGACCGCTTTTACCGTGCCACTGGTAAACATTTCTTTAGACAATCCCCACCACCACACCGATTGTCAGCCATGGCTCAATAAGCAACCCACCACGCGTGAAATATCAAAGTCACATAAGCATAAAGCAAAGTCATTGATCATAAAGAATGTTACAGAAAATAAAGTAGATTTGTATTAAAATCTATTAGAGAAAGAATTTTGGGGAATTATATAGTACAAAATGATAAAAATACAAATAAAAATACAAAACTATACAATATATCTCTCTCTTTCTTTTAAGTCAACCAGCGACTACCGATAGGTCATCATATAAATGATCACTATCGGTTATGATTATTCCTAATTCTTCAACCGCTTTTACCGCGCTACTGGTAAATGTATCTTTGGATAACCCCACCACCACGCCAATCATCGGCCAAGGCTCATTTGACAACGTCCCTAATCATTTCTCAGATTACGGTAGGCCCTGAGATATTTAGATATTTATTAAATGATGTTCATTTAAATATAATTAATTTTCATTAAATTCTATTAAGTACCTATTTTTCTTTTCTTCCAGGCTTTACACTGCCCCATAAATCTTTTGCCATTCATATGCCCGCGCATATCGATCCTCTTATCACCTTGGCCCCTGTGAAAATTATAAATGAAAAATTGAGTAATTGCGTCAACATCATCAAAAATCAAGAACATTCACAGTTATTTTTTTGTGGTTACGAAGCAACCTACCGCGTGTCTAAATCTAGAACCCCTGGTCTCTACGAGAAAATTATCCTTCAAGAAGGCCACTACGATACCGATTATCCTGCATGGTTGTTGGAAGAGCATCTCGCCCAACTCTAAGACGACAGAAGGATCTGTGATTTTTAGAAATTTATTAATGATATTCATTAAATATAATAATAAAATTTCATTAAATTCATTAAAACATACCAGTTTTTTTACTTTTCAAGTTCTTGTATTGAATAACAATGGGATATTAGAAATACGCAAGTGTATATCTTTCCCTTTATCACCACGACCTCTATGAAAATATAAAAATCAAAAAAGTAATTTGTGTCATCATCATCAAAAATCAAGAAGAACACTACAATCCCCAGGGCAGTACCGAATTTTGGGATTTCGGAAACTGAGAAGAACCGTTCACGGCTGAAACTGTGGCCATAAAGAGCTTTCATTTCCCAGACATTTTAAACCTAGTAGCAGCGTAACTTCAGATATACAATGACTTGACAAAATAACTCTGTGAAATACTCACCATTCTCAATATTCAAACTCTCCAAAATAGTACTATTTTTCGAGCTCTCTTCCTATCTCACTAATGACATGAGTTTTGGTAATTTTCGTCATAACTTTCGATCACTTCGCTTCGTTAATACTTGGGTAAGTAGCTGTGAAAAGTGACCAAATTAAAAATTTTTTAATAAATTTTTTTTTTGATATTCCATACATTTCCAAAATAATGTATGACCATGTGAGAATCGATTGAATTTAGTTATTGTAAGCAGGTTATGACAAATAATTATATTATATGGTTGCTGATAGGAAAAAAATTTTTCATAAAGAAAATTCCTGTTTCACTACACGTGAGTGAAACTTATAAAAGAAAAGAATTAACGCAGTGATAATACTGAAATTTCCAATAATATTTAGCTCCCCGAAATCATGTGAGGTACCTTCCGATTAGCCATTCTAACATGAATTACACCACCCAAATAAAAGTAAAAGGAATTGAAAATGCAAATACTTTTGGACGCTAATTATGCAATAAAAATAATTTTATGATATCTTTTTTTAAAAAAAAAAAGCCTAAATCTAAAAAGCATGGTGAAATCATCAATTAAGTTTAAGTATTTAGAATATTGCAGCAGTGCTTTATTTAAAGATCTACTAGGTACTGTATTATAAATGAATATAAAACAAATGTGGTGTAATAACAGCTAATAAAATACTAGGACATTAAAGAGTTTTTGGAAAGTGGACTTGAAAGAAGAACTGTCCTTTTGAGTATACGGTAGTTAAATTCTATGATCCTTGCTTATTAATTGATTAATTGATTCATTATCAGTGTGTAGGGGTTTTGCTAAAATTCGAGTTTTAACAGGAATTTAACCTTGGAAGGGGCGTTGCCAAGGGTTAAATTCCTGTTAAAATTCGATATTTAGCAAAACCTAATTGTTACGTCGTCATTATTCACATATCCCTCAAATCGAAGGGAACATTTCAAATTCACGGCGCAGCAGTTGAGAATTCAATTCTCGTTCGTTTCAATTCATTGGATTTTATCGTAATAACATTCGGTAATTTAAGCTAGTTTACATGACAAATCACGCATTTGAATTCGTCGAAAAAATTCGATTATCCAATCAGTTTCAATGCCAAATTATATTATAGTAAAAAATTTTTAATTACGAAATTAAATAATTTAGCAACAATAACAAACTCCTTTTTCCTTGGCAGCTTTATTATCAATGACAGACCAACCAATCATTGGTGAGACAACCACTTCATTAGAATTCTCGAGAAGTTCTTGTTGCGCACCCAAAAATCCAGCAATAAATTTTAAATGTAAACCAGTATCAGTTGTAAATGGGACTGCAACCCTTTCCATCAGGAATATCATCCGGTTCAATTGAATTGTAAGTTAGCTTTGATCCATCCTTTCCATAAGGAAAAAAGGCCAAAAACCATCCACTAATATCATTACTAGGGCCTGAACCAAACGATTGTTGCGAGACTATCTTTGACCAGAACTCTTCATCAATTTCACCTTTATAAGTTTCGATAAACTTGCAAATAACAGGCTCCAATCTATCCAACCAAAAATCGAGTTCTAAATTCAACTGTCGTAATTGAATGACCTTTTCTTGTACCTTTTCCCAATCTTCTAAAGTACCCTCGAGAGTAACTTTAGGAATTCCACACATGAATATTACTTTATATGTAAAATATGCTTTAACCATATCCAAAAGAACGATACGACTAGCCGTAAGCGAATTAATCGTTGTGGTAGAGAAATTACATTCTAAAAGGGATTTTATATCAATTTTTTCTACAGCTTCATCAGTTTTCACGACCAATCTATTTACCGCCTCAGGCCAATCTCCCTCAAGGTTAGAATTATTGAAAAATAAAATATCATCGGCATCAATTATTATCTCTTCTTGACCTTCATGATTGACAAAATAATGACGAAATTTTTCTGCATTATAATTAATATGATGACTAACTCCTTGTGCGATGGTTAACCAGATATCATCAGGAGATAATCTTAAATGTTGATGGTGGTTGTAAGCGTGAAGAATGGCCGCTGCCATTCCATGAGAGGTCATGGTATCTTTAATCAGAGATGGTTTGCTTGAAGGAGTTTCCTCATAATTAACTGAGACTGCATGAACTTTTGTATCAGGAAAAATTTGAGAAATTTTATTTTTTATTGTAACTTTTCTATGAAGTTTATTTTCGAGATTAATTTTTTTAGTGAGGATATGAGTACTCATTTTTTTTTATTTTTTTTATTTTTTTTTTTTAAAAAAAAAAATGAATACCAACTGGTACGTTTTTTATTGACGAATCCGCATTGGGAAAATACTCATTGTTAAATAGAAACTCCAAATTGGTGCGTTTTTATTGACGAAACCCCATTTGGCGAATTAATTTTCAGCCAAAATACTTCGGACAAAGAATTAACCATAATTGGTTATATTTAAAATAAAACGATATCGCATTAGCAATTGAAAATGAATGTTTGTGGCTTAAGTCAAACGTTATCTTTTGATTTTACTGCGCCTGCTACAATAATTAACGGAAAAACTTATAAAAAATAAAAAAAAGCAAAAGACAATGTGAGAAGTGGTTGTAGTTTATCTATTGCGTTCAAGCCTTCGTTAGTGTAATCCGAAATTGGTTATAAATTCGACATTTTAGAAATGGCGGCGTTAATAAATTTTTATTTTGACGATCTAATTTTATTTACTTTTCTTTTTTTTTTTGATAGTTTTGTAGAAATAAATATTTTTTGTATATGTTTATACTGCATTAAACTGGTTTGTGAAAATAGAACCGGTTTCAAACTCTATTCCTAAAAATATTTTTTATTAAAAAAAAATATATATATATAACACGTACTGACAAAACGATTCGTACAAACTTGCGTTAAGCTTTCATTCTAACAAAGTATTTGAATTGTTCCTTTTCTTGATTTAAAAAAGTTATGATAACTGGCAGTTTAATCGAAACTTTTCTATTTTTAGTTGAATGATATATTCTAAATTATTGAATTGCATTGAATTCCAAATAATTATGTTCATTATGTTCATTTTCGTCAATGTTGAGCATTTTCTAAGAAAAAAAAAAATAAATGAACAGTCCTTCTTCAATTTGATTATTGCTTAAATTAGTAAATGTCATAATGCGTTATTTAACTTTTCAAACAATACAGTATACAATTAGCATCGCTATAAAATGATCAAAATATAATGTGAAAAATCCATACATTAAATATTTATATCTTGTAAATAAATAAATAATTCATGTAGAATCTTCACAATGGATTATACTAAATATCACAGGAAAATTAAATTTAAAAATATGCATAAATATACACAATAGAAATAAAATAAAAAAATTATGCATAAATTTATTGTTATAGATCATGATGTATCGTTGGTCAAAACTACTTACTATAATCTTTGCCTTATATACAATTACTAAAATAAGAAAGAAATTTGCCAAAAAAATAAATTTTCTCATTGACAACTCATATCGATTCCGACTGGAGAAAAAAAGGTTTGCAAAAAAAAAAAAAATAAGTTTGTAGGGAAAAACCATCACATTCTATAAACGTAGAAACTTTCAACAGGTTTCGAAGGGATTTCGATGGTTTCGACAAATTGATCATTTTTAATTCACGATTTCGATTTAACTAAATTTAATGGGTTTTTAACAGGCTGGCTTAAGATAGTTTTGGATCTAGACAGAGAATCGGATATAGTTCCAAACTTACTCGATTTTATCTATATTTCGTATTTTATTCCCATTAAAAAAAAAAAAAAATATTAACGGCATTTTCGTGAGAATTTTACTACGGATTGCGATTTTAGGGGACGTGAAAAAATCTATTCGTCACTCCCTATCCCTTCACACTGCGTCAATTATTTCCAGATGGGACGCAGGGGGTTAAGATTCCCTTTTTTAGAGGGCGCACACGCACATGATCGACCTTTTTGTCGAACAATTATAAATTCCGAAATTTTTTTTTGTTTCCACAACAGTCACGGTTTGCTTTTACACTTTTGTAAAAATAAATGGATCTATCCAAAATAAAAATATTTTCATACGATTGGGTGATCAAGGAAAAAGAAACATTCACGTTTCATGTTCACTTACCAAAATATGTCGAAAAATTTGGAATTCCCATAGTACTTGGCAATGTAAAAGAATTAGGACTTTGGAATAATCCTATTGTACGACTTTCTCAACCATTTCCTCAAAATTCAACATATTGGCAATCTAATCCGATTGCTATTTCGTTATCAAATTTTGATATTCAGTACAAGTTTGCTGTTCTTTTAAATGAGCCCACTGGGGAAACAAAAATTGCATTCGAAGGATCCAGTATTGAAGACAGTCGCACTTTGGATATTATAAGAAATCACCAATTCGGTATATGGAAAAATAATGAATTTCTTTTGCTATCCAATACTATAATCGACGACTTTGCTTTCGTAGATTGTATTTATAATAATATTAGTGATAATAACCTTAAAGATAAAGTTATGGAATATCAACATTTATTAACTATTTACAATGATCTTATGATTCGCGCATCAAATCTTGAATTCATTGTTAATCGTATTGATGACAGTTCAAGAGAACAACGGATCTTTTTATGTCTTCTCTTAGGGTATTATATATCAAGTCAAGAAAAAAACTATGAATTACCAACTTCATTCCCTTCGGGACTTCTGCTAGATGCACTTGAGAACTATAAACAAGAAGCATTACCTTTAGGCATCAAAGATCAAATGCTCATCGCTATCACAACTTTAGTCCATCATAACGCTTTCCAGATGCAATTTAATTGGCTTAATATTTTTAAAATTACTAGAGAAATAGATCCCAATTGTACCTTTATTGATCGTTTACGGGCTTTAAGATTTCCCAGTGACAATGTATTAGCAAAATTTATTGAAGAAATTGAATTTATTAGTACTTATGTTAACGACTTTAATTTTGAAACTTATATTAAACTTTCCAAGGTAAATTTTAAATAATTATATATTTTTCCAAAAAGTATTTAATATAATTTGTTAATTTGTAGTGGTTAATACAATTATGTCATAACATGGACCCTCTCTTAAAACTTTGGAATAATGTTCTTTTGCATGATATCGCATTGGATAAACAAATATTCAAGTCGTTTATAGATCGAATTCGAGAAAATATTTTTCATGACGATGCTTCTTCCTTAGAGTACCATTTTAAAAGTCTTCACAAGCGTTATCAGGATGATGTATCTGATGTCTTCCGGGGTCGCGCTTTATTTTTACTCGAAAGTCCATTTAGAAAGTGGACCGATCAGAATGTTTTGGCTATACAAAGACTTCTTCAAAATGATGATCTTGACTGGCGTAGTGATGACATAATTCTTTCATTAGAGTTGATATCCCAATCTCATAGTTTGGAATTATTAAATATATTTCCAGAAATTTTGGATGATTGGTTTCGTAGTGATTTTTCTGATACCAAAAAGAAAAAGATACCAAGTATTTGTGTAAATTGGTTTACACTACTTTTGACCAAGCTTGGGACATATGAGGTAAATACTTTAAATGAAAGAAACTTTATTTATGCGGTATTTGAACGATTAGAACGCATGTATCCTTTGCTTGGTAAAAGGATCAATGTTTGGCGAGATATAACAAAAATTGCCATAGAAAGGGTAAAGGGGTGTTCTGAACTTCGAATTTATTCCGCAACAAATTTGATAGTGGGAATAAAACAAGATGATGTCAAAAAATTATTTGTAGATATGGTAAAAGAAATATTAAATAAGAAAGTTCAACAAATTAATGATATGTTACTACATAAGATATTTATAATTTGCGATTGCAAAGGAAAATTTCTCGACATTCCGAATTCGTAAGTAATCAATTTTTTATTCATAAATAAATATATATATATATTTTTTAAATTATTATGTTAATATTTTTAGGATGAGTGAAGATCTTTTATACCATATAATGACTATATTACAAGGCCAATCGACAGCATCTAGCCCTTCAGAGTATCATTTAAATACTTTAAAAGCTAGTAGATTTTGGATCATTATATTTCGCGCTAGTGGAAGTGTCTCAAAGCTTAATGCAAACTCATTTGTTAAAAATACTAAAAAAAGTATCAACGAACTCGGGGAATTACTTCTTGAGAAAATGATCGATATAAAATTGTTGCAACAAATTTTAGAATATTCTGATGAAAAATTATTTCAACATTTCGAGGCTGCTGTTACCAAAAAGAAAATTTTGGGTGTTGTAATAGTCTCTCGAGAAGAAATTGCTAAACTTAGGATTCATTGTAAAGATTATCAACATCAACTCGATATACTTTTCAAATTTTATAGCGTATTTTGTTCGGGTACTCAAGTAACGGATGTAAATGCTTACATTTTGGACGTACAACTGCACATGCAAAATTCACATAAAGTTAAGCTGAAACAAGTATTAACATCAGATTACTGGGCATTCCATAAGAAAACGTTAGACAGTGCAATACGTTGCTACAAATATAACAATGCCCAAACATTCAGGAATATCTTTGATGCTTGTCTCCGTGAAGATGCTGCTGCAACAAGTGTAGAATATATAGCTAAAAAATTGATGCCACTTGTTATTGAAAGATATCTCACCATGTGTAAACAGTTTAAGGAATGGGAAAAACTCAAATGTTCAGACGCAGCTTTGCTTTGGAAAAATGTTACGAATGTTAATGCTGAACTCGATTTAATGGATGGTTATGAATCTTATAAAAGCCAAAGATTTGTACAAACTCTTGATCATCTTTCAAAAATTCCTCACTGGATTAAGCGATTAGAACAATTAAAAAAGGTTGTGGAAATTTTCAAAATACCCCATAATGAAGACGATTGGCTATCGAAATCAATTCGTATTTTAAAAGATGACTCTATGAAGCTTTGTCAAATTAACAATTTTTTCGACTACCTTGATAGAAATCTTTTCAATTTTAATGATGATTGTTGGAAATTGATACGAGAATTATCAAGCGCTGATGATTTTATGTGTTTCTTAACGAAGATTGCCCAACATGATAT